CATCTATAATAATCGGTAATAAAAATAAGGAATACCTAAAACAAATGGTGACCGCCACATTGGATTCCCTGGGAGACTATTTCTATAAAAATAATTTAAAATTAAATAAAGAAAAAACACAAATAATCAACTTTACATACAAAAAGGAGGATAATGAGATTATACATACTACTGGCAATGACATCATAACATCTATGAATAGCACCTCCTTTTTGGGGGTAAAGATTGATTCACGTTTGAACTGGAAAACCCATGTAGACCATGTTGGTCAAAAGATCGCTAAATACTGTTATGCTCTAAAAGTAATAGCTCAAAATATTAATATTCCTACAGCATTTATAGCATACCATGCATATGTTCAATCTCAAATAAAATATGGAATTGTCTTCTGGGGAAACTCTAGTGATGCTATCGATTTATTTGTACTACAAAAGAGATGCATTAGAAATATTCTAAACATGAAACAGACAGATAGCTGTAAACAAATTTTTATTGAAAAAAGAATACTTACCTTAGTGAGCTTATACATATATGAAGTAATTATATTTGTTAAGCGAAATATAAACTTATTCGCAGATTTTAACTTATCTCATTTATATGATACCAGAAACAAAAATACATTAGTGACTGAAAATATAGTAAAATATAGTTATATTCAAAGGAATGTCCCATATTCATTACTAAAAATTTATAATAAATTACCTCTAGATATAAGAAATTTATCGTGCAAAGATTAAAAATTAAAATTCTTTTAGACAAAGCATATTATACTTTAAAGGAATTCTTTGAAGATAATATATATTGATTTATTGTCATTATACTATGTATGTATGTATCAGTGCATAAATTGTGTTATTTTGTTCGTGTTTACTTATCAGCAATGTTAGTATTGGTGTACATCTTGTTTTATATTTAATATTACTTCTTATATTTAAATATTTAACTTTTTTACTATTTTTTACTACATATTGACGAGTTCTACACCCTAAGGGTATTTTGTAATTCTTATGCAAAGTGAACTAATAAAGATTTTACTTACTTACTTACAATATTGTAGATTAATAATTTTCAGGCATTTCCAGTGCCTTTTAAATTTTTTAACGGAAACACAAATTTCAATAAATAAAACTTTTGAGGCTCTATAAAAAAATGATTCTTCAATAATAATTGATGAAATTTGGGCCACAGAGATTTCAAGTGATGCTGAAGAATGCCATGTTGCCACATTTTTAATAAAAAAATCCTTTGAGTAATTTTCGAAAAAATCATAGTCTGTGGATTCACAGCTGGAGCATCATGATAGGTTCAACAAGTACATCTGGAAGGCCAATACATATAAAAAAAATCATTGAAATCGCACAGCCAAAAATTTTTTAGACGGGTGTCCTACTTCTTAATGGGCCACACTATATACATATATATATATATACACAGGGTGATACATAAATGGTGACCAAAAATGAAACCTCATATTCTTTGGTGAATTTTAAGGGAATTCTTCCCTATAAATTTTTTATCTAGGACGCTTCGTTAAAAAGATACAGGGTGTTAAACTTCAAAAAATATTTTTAATTTTTTTAAATAAAAAATTTAAAAACGTGTAAATGAAATAGTTAGAAATTGGGCACATGTATTTATATAAACATTGACCAAAATCTGAAACCTTTTTCTAAAATTTAGATGCTTCAGTGGCGGAGGTACAAGGTATTGGTGGCATATTTTTCTAAATAAAATAGTATGCCACTGCTTTTCTGCCATGATATTTTCGGATTCGCCTTTCAATTTTCTACAAATTACTACTCTCTTATGTTTTTCGAAAAAAGCCTGGTTTTCGAGTAAAACTTAAAAAACTAACTGAAAACACCGGACCTCAATCCACTGGATTTCTTTTTGAGGAGTGCTGTTAAACAGCTGGTATACAGTGAAGAAATTATTACACTTGAGCAGTTAGAAAAAGAATAAATGTTTTTCATCAGATTAAAGCAACAATAAATTTCGAACAAATTACATTTTCATTTCTAAAAAGATGTCGCGCCTGTGATTGTGCAAATGGAGGTATTTTTGAGCATTTACTCAAATAAAATCATTAAAATGATGAAATGATTAATGTTATTAATATCTTTATTCGAATAAATAACCGATGATTAGTACTCGTCATGTCATTTAACCCTTTCGCTGCGCAATACGTCTGAACGTAGCTACCGCGCCGTGCGCGAAAGTTTATCTAGTGCGAATATATACGTCTGGAGCAGTTAGACCACTTATAGTTTTGCATTATGTTGTGTTAAATTACGATTTACGATAAATTCTATGATTTTATTTTAAATAAAATACAGTATATCGACAGCTGTATTAAATAGAAACTGAAAGAGAGATGAAAAATCTTGGCATTATTACCAGTACCTCCTTCCATAAAAATATTTGTCACAATTGCTATTAGCTCCGCCCGCTAAAATTCTCCATACTAATTGCACTAATGCGCATGGTTGCAAATATATACGGTTTGATCAGCCTGATCCAATTTAACTATTCAAGCGAATTAATCTGTCTGGAGCAATTTGAGCCCTATAAATTTTTAACGAATAAATACGTCTGGAGCAGTGAAAGGGTTGAGGAAAAATGTATTCAGTTAGTTATTTAAGTTTTACTAGAAAATCAGGTTTTTTTCGAAAAACATAGAGTAGTAATTTGGAGAAAATTGAAAGACTAATCCGAAAATATCATGGCTGTTACCGTAAAGTAGTGGTGTATGTACTATTTTATTTAGAAAAATATGCCTCCGATACCATGTATCTCCGCCACTGGAGCATGTAAATTTTAGGAAAAGCCCTCAGATTTTGGATAATGTTTACATAAAAAGATGTGCCCAATTTCAAATTATTTCACTTCCTAGTTTTTAAATTACAGTGAAAGTCGATTATAACAACCTTCAAGGGACTGTTTGTTTACGGTTGTTATAACCGATAGACGTAATAAGCAATTACATATATTTTATTTAAAATTTTTATAGAAAAAATTAAAAACTTACAATGTATGTACATGTGTTGCTTTGTGTTCAAAAGATCTCGCACGTATCATTTTCAATTAATTGTTTACGAATAGAGACTACTTTATTTCCATCCTTCCAAATTGTTGAAATCGTAGTGTGACACTCCACATTATTTTGCTTGCTTGCATTAGTTTCTCCGTTTTTTAATCTCTATATTATAGGTATGTGATTTTTCTTCTTTATTAAACACTTTTCTCTTCGATATCCTGATAGAAAGCGGTAATTAATTCATATAATATAACTGTATAAGTAGACAAGTCGTAATTTGTCCCAAATGTAGTAACTGCTGTTACGCGGAAGAGCGGTGCATTGGTTTTAAGGTCATATATCACTATTGGTCACTATAACCGACAAATTCTATGGTAAATACATATAAAAACACGTCACTAAATCCGAAATGTCATAGTAAATTTTTAAAAATGGTATTTCTATAGGGTTAAATCTAGACTTCCAAATTCCGTCGTTATATCCAATATGTCGTACAAAGCGATGTCGTTATAACCAATTTTCACTGTATTTAAAAAAATTAAAAATATTTTTTGAAGTTTAACACCCCGTATCTTTTAACGAAGCTTCCTAGATAAAAACTGTAATAGGAAAGACTCCCCTTAAAATTCACCAAAGAATACGAGGTATCATTTTTGGCCACCATTTGTGAATCGCGCTGAATAATAAAAAAAGCCTTATATCAAATAGTTTTATATTCACCAAGAAAGTGGAACGTCAATTTTGTAGCGAAAAAATAAATCTTGACCTTCAACAGCTCAACCTGTGGACAATTGATGAGTATTGCCAATTGGAACATGTAAATGCATGAAATGAACAAAAAAGAAATAACACATTTTTTATGCAATACTTAACAATTAATTTTGGGCAATTTAATACGATCCTCTTGTTTAATTAAAATAAAAAGTAAACATAAAACTTTAATTAATTAATTTACTACAAATGGTGATGTTTAATTCGAGTAGTAGAAGTAAAGTACAGGGTGTTACCGAAAAGACCACTACAATATTTTAAAGTGGATAGGTTGGATCTCGCCAAACAAAAAAATGCAAACTTGCAGCTTTTATAGAAAATGTTGAAAATGATTCCCAATGACAGGTTGTAGGCGATACGGATGTAACACACAGCATAAAATGCGATGTATGGTGTGAGACGTTCCTATTTGTTGTACAACGCAACTACCACTATTCCCAGGTTGTTCCTCAACAGTAGCTAATATGGCGTCCTCAACGTCGCGGTTAATTTGCAGGCGGTGTATTTCTGCTTGCAACCATTAAACAATGTAAAATAGTAATTACGTGCGGATGACGACGTTGTCTACATTCTCAACAGCAGTAAACGCATTGTTGTTTTCGTTATCTATTGCCGAATTAGTTTAAGAAAGGACTTGAAAAAAGCAAAATAAAAAATAAGAAACACTTGTAATAAAATAGCACTTGACTGTCTCTTATTTTTTAAATTTACACTACGACCAATATTGCATACTCTTCGGTTACTTAAAACAACAAAATATTACAACACAATCTCCATAAACACGGCATCTAAACAACAGAACAATCTTTTTGATACAACTTGACAGCTACAGTCAATGAAACATGAAACCACTGGGCGTTAGACTGGTTAGTTATTTCTTTAATTTAGCAATTTATAAGGCCACGTGATCTCCATTCCACAAGTGTCAGACTATTGTCACTGCGCCTGCAAAGGTTACAGCTCATAGTGCGAACAGGTCCGGCATTAACTTTTGCTTTATGCAATAATTGCCTTATGATAGCATATATTATTTTATTTCATTTACTATCAAGAGTTTTAATTTTCTGCATTGTACACGCCACACCCTGTATATAAGTTGAAAAAGTTATTCCTATGTATGTATTAAAGTAAAAAAATTAAATCAATTTTAAGGTATACTGTTTTATGGTATCTAAATATCTCTATTTTTCAGATGTTTTTTATTACTCCTGCTGGTGGCTGCTATTCTATGGAAAATAAAACAAAGATATGATTTGTATAGAAGGCGTCAACGTTTTTTTGTTGAAATGGAGCAAATGGCATCACGTCCGTTTTCACAAGTATTAGTAGAATTGGAAATTAAAGACAGAATAGAATTAAATATTTGCATAACTGATAAAAAAATAAAAATAAAAGATGTTCCAAGTCCTATAGCGCTAGAACCATGTTACGGTAACAGAGCTGCTGTTTTAAGTTTACTAGTACGACTACCAACAGGTGGAGAAGCATTTACTTCTAAAGGACAATCTGCAGGGCTGGCTGTTGCTAGTGCTTTAGTAACTTTGGGATATCCAAGAAAAATAAGTATGGATCAAATAAAATCTGAAAAATCTGGAAAGCTGAGGAAACTGCAAAGTCAACATCCTGATAGTTGTCTTTAAGACTTCACTTATTTGATCTCAGGAATTAAATTGTGTTTTTAAATACTGTGGCATGTAATTTACTTTGTTTTTTTTAAATATCACTAGAAAAAAACATTTATTAATTACATTTGTACATATATTATTATAATCAAATGTCAATTTATTTAACTATACATATAATAACTTTTTTATCAAATAATGTTTTTTTTCAATTTTCAATAGATGCACTGACACCACTCTAGCAGATAATAATGCTCAATAAATATTTTTCCAGCCAGGAGTGATGTTAACTTTTTGATCTTCTGATTATAAAAATATAAGTAAAATTGTTGCTTATTCATATTGAGAATAAATATTTAATAGTTTAAATAATAAATTATTTTTTTCTCGGTTAATGTAGGAATGCAAATGAACAGACATAATGTCTCATTCATTTAAATGTGTTACTTTACCAAAAGAGTGTAATGGGCACTTCATTGTTCACAGGGAATGTGTCAGTCATTATGTCGCCTGAGCAACTGTGACGGTTATCTCGGGCTACAGTTTCTGTTTACAGCGCAGAAGCACCACTATACCACTATAAGGTAGCTACAATGAAGACACGGTATGTCTAGGGTTCTAGAGTGGTGTAGACTTCACACAGGAATAAGTTACACTTCATAAATGTTTACATTTATTGAAAGTTATCGTACCTAGAGTGGTGTAGACTTCACACAGGAATAAGTTACACTTCATAAATGTTTACATTTATTGAAAGTTATCGTACTATGTATAGTTTGTAAACTATTACTATTATAAAGCTAAGGTTAGGCAATGACAGGCGACTATAGACATGCGCAGGTTATGACTACTACTAGAAACTGTAAAACGGCAGTATGGTGTTAAGCGGTAACCTGACGAAAAACAAAGCACAGCAATTAAGTAACAGGCAAGCGGATTTTACAGCCAGCTAAGTGCAGATACCAGTAGTGAGGAAGCGATCGAGCTAGCAAAATATACTACAGACTTGGTTACTATCTGGTCAATACATAATGATTTTATTTTTTTGGTTCGGCTATGAGTCCGATCGCATGAAGAGATCTACAAATTTCAGCTCCTGCAAGTTTGTCCTTTGTAGTATAGCTGGAAAAAAAATGTGATTAGGTACAACCTGTGTTTCAGCTCATAGAAGGGAAAGGGGAAACGACATCCCATGATCTGAAAACACAGCGAAGTCAAGTACTTATGAAAACAAACGACAATGTACCTAATAACATCGTATGGATAGCTGGAAAGAAATATGATTAAAACAGAGCTTTTACCTAAAACTGTTTACTCACATCCTGTGTTTCCTGCTAGGCACATCTGCTTGGTGAAGTGGTGGATCGGAACTAACTCAGACTCTCGGATAGAATTACTTCGTCAGGTCTCCGGTCAACTCGGGATACTTACGCACGCATTAAGTTTGCGTGGAACTTCCTTATTGGATACGACTTCTCGTTCAGGAACTAAAATTACAGTTCGGCTTGCTATACCAGTGTCTTATTTGCTGGTTGGCGGCTGTGTACTGGTTCTCTTCTGGAGTTAGGAAGTTCTCTCAAAAGGCGGTGTCTGGTGAATAACAGGTCTGCTCGGTTTTTAATTCAGTTTCTATTAGTGGTGTGGTCGGTTATCGCAGCTGCTATACTTTGCGGTCGAAATTATAGACAGTGACTCAGACATAATATAAAAACACTGTTACCATAAACCGTATAAAATATAAAATGATTTTTATTACGGTTCAATATTATTGTCTTGTATTAAATGATGTGCCGCTTTCTATGCATTTCGATAGCATCGATAGTCGTCTATATACTGAGCTACACTGAACGTCAATCTATTTTCTAGGTGTGTCTATTGCACTGAATAAAGAATAGGGAAATGCTTTTTTAGTGCCATAGCGTAAGCGTACGCAAGGAGTGAAATTCCATGGCTATAATAAATTTATAAATTAAAAAAATACAAGCAGGACGTTTTAAAACGTTGTAATAATTAAAATGGATCTAAGTGTCAGTTGTAGCAAATCGTCTGTTGCTCATAAAAATAATAGATGTTATGTTTTATCTTTCTGCCATATTTTCTATATCCTGTTGCTTTCTAGATAGATAAAATAAAATACAGTAGAATAGAATAGAAAATTATTTATACTAGGGACAAATATACATTTGTATAGTACAAGTCAAAAAAGCAAACAATGTCTATAACTAGAGCAAAACTTTAAAAACAGATTCCATAATTATTTATCTAAAAATATGCTCTGTTACATCTTCAATTTGATACGGTTCTACAACAATTAACTTTGTCTTAATAAGTATTTCGCCTTGAAAGTATTAAATGATCTAATCTCTTTCAAGTATTTTGAAAGCAAGTTGTATATTTTTAAGCACTTATAAATACATCCCACTTCCAGTAAAGTTGTCTTGTAACTGGGACAACAGAATTTATCATTAAGTCTCATATTATGCACATTTGGATTTAGACGATTTTCAAACAAAGCCATGTTGCAATAAATAAACTAAACATTCATAAGCTGCCGGTAGCGTCAATAGTTTTAATCGTTTAAAAGTTTCTCGGCATGAAGCTCCTAGTCTTAGGCCTGATAAAATTCTGATTGCTCTCTTCTGAATCACAAATAGATCCCGACTATGTGAACCCCTCCAAAATAAAATTCCATAGGTCATATCAGAATAAAAATGTCGCTAGGATGCAGTAATAAGTGTTTTCTGATCCATCACCTTTTTAAGTTCTTTTAAGTGTATAGCAGATTTTACTTAATTTGCCACAAAGCAGTTGTGCCTGTGCTCTCCAGTCCATATGCTTGTCAATTGTGATCCCCAGAAATTAGTGGTACTTGTATATGCAATGTCAGTATTGTCAATATTTATTTTTTCAGGAAAGTTATGGTTATTTCTGCTATGCCTAAACAAAATACCAGTCAGTAATATGGGGTAATAAATTTGGTGTTTTAAGATTAAGAGCTTCATAGCTCTGTTCCGCAATGAGAATATTTGTATCATCTGCATAATTTGTTAGAGGCACAGATGGATCATTTAAAGAATTTTCTAAATCATTTATATACAAAATAAATAGGATTGGGCCCTGTGGCACTTCTAAACATACAGTTTTAGTTTCAGAAAAATGTTCTATTGACATGTTTTCTGCTAACTTTTTGTGTTCTTTTGGAAAGATATGACTTAAACCAGTCAAGGGCGATACCATGTATGCTCATACTTTGTAATTTGTTAAGAAGAATTTGATGGTTCACACAGTCGAAAGCCTTTGACAAATCAAGAAAAACTATGTATGAGGCAACCATTATCCAAAAAATGTAGAATCCTCTCAACAGAGGCTAAGATAGCAGTTGTAGTTAACTTACCCTTTTGGTAACCATGTAATTGTTAATAATATTGTTAGGTATTAAAAATTGCATCAATTTTCTACACATAATAACTTCACTTAACTTTGAAAAAACAGATAACATGCTAATAGGTCTATAATTTTCAATCAAAAGGGCCTTTCTTATTAGAGGTTTGACAACTGCTATCTTCAATCTCTCCGGGAAAACTGCACACCTCGTAGACTCATTTAGTATATATGTTAAAGATTCCAGAATAGATTAAGCAATTTTTTTCAAAAGTACATTACTTATGTGGTCCTCGCCTGAAGAATACTTATTTTTAAGTCCATTTATACATTCTAGTACTTGCTTTGTAACATCAATTAGAAAGATTGAATTGATATTTTCTGGCATATGTGCAAAGTTGTCATTTATAGGCATATTGTGCACAAGTCGCCAGGTCTCTGAGGAAAAAAATTCATTAAATAAATTACTAGCGTCTTGTGGCGAGGTAACCAATGTACTATTTATTGTGATCCCATTAAAATCATTTGTGGAGGATTTTTTTTACGCCTATGGATTTTCAATCCCCGTACGCCTCATCCTCCTTACTAGTCCAAGAGCTAGCGATGAGTCACTCTCTATAGTTTCGACCACGAAGTATAGACATAATCCTATACAAGTCATAACGAGAGCAAAACAGGCGTCATTTTCGGGGCAGCTCTGCCGGGAATGGTCGGGATAGCCAACATAATTCCTATCATTCTACAGTCGTACGCAGGGCGAGTCCAATCCAAAATTCACCCATGTTTCAAATACTCATAAAAATCCTTTATGCCTCCATGGCGCCAAAGTTCTCGCCAAATTAATAGAAATGGTTCTTGATACAAAGCGTTCAAAAAAATGTATGTTTCCTAAAGTGATAGTGTCCCGTTATGAGTGCTGTCACTCTCCTAAGCCAAATTTTATTCAAACTCAGCAACTCATTTGCTCTTTCCTTCAAAGGATATTCCATGAGCTCCTTAGAATGACTATGCCCTGCCCTTGAAGTCCTGTGTTCTGTCTCAGTCCATTTGCCCATAACCCGCCTGACCACACTGGGAGACGTATCACAGTAGGGCCAATAAACTTTGTTTCAGATGCCTTCCTAGCAAGTTCATCCGCTTTCTTGTTCCCATAAATGCCTTTGTGTCCTGGCACCCAACACAGTCTAACTGGCCAGTTGGTGGCCAGTTCAGTCAGCATTTGTAAACAATCCCACACAAGTTTTGAACTTGTGTATGCCTAAAGCTTTAATTGCAGCTTGACTCTCAGAGATATATACAGGCTGTTACAAATTCGCTTCTCACTACAGGGATCTCGAAAACGGTAAGAGGTACGAAGTAGCTTAAATGGGGACAAAGTTACGTAATCAGGAGACCAACATTATGTCTCTAAAAAATCAAGGCTAACATGTTTAGTTTTCGAAATATTTGAAAAAACCGAAATTATGGAAATCCGTTTTTGTTTCATTTCAGCCTTGTTTGAGGTGATATTGAAAAAAGAACACTTTCTCATGGCCACTTTTTGCCCTCTATCGAATGGCATAATCAATTTTTATATGTAACGTTTCGTCTTTCCAGGACCATCATCAACTTCATTTTTTTAAATACGACCCTAGAAATTTTATTACATTTTTTGCATGCATTCATGACCCCCAATATTGTATTGCCTCAGCCCGGACTAGATTCAGACGTTTTGTCTCGAAAAATTCATCTTCAGTGTATTT